CGAAATATCAAGTCGAAATTTCCTATTTTGATTTTTTCGTAAATACCTGGGAATGGGTCGAAAATTCAATAAAACGACCATAACTTTTGAAGGAAGAACATTGGGGGAAAATCCCTTTAGGCTTTTTACTACCTCAATATACTCGATTAAATGAGATAAGAACAAATCAAAACGGAGGGTATCATCTGGATAGGTTCCCTCGTCAGTTGATGATAATAGATGTAGAAAGAGCTAAATTGAAAGATGTATAAGGTGCTCTTATTCCTTACTCATCATAATTCATTTCCTTTCTGTTTTTAAACAATAATCGCATTTGGCATACTTTTAATTCTTTCTGATGATTTTCAACCGTCAAGAAAACTACATTGTTCGTATTACATTATTGAACAATCAGTTTCTGTACAATGAACTAGATTTAGATCTTAATCTTATGTTTTCTGAAGTATCGGCATTATTGTTAGAATGAGAAATGAGAATATCTTATACGTTTTTTTGTTTTAACTATTGTCGAGAATCTCACGACACATTTTTCAAAAAAAAAACTCAAGTTTTTCATGATTTGTCTTTGTTGAGATATTTTCCAAATATCCAATGTTCCAATCAGTTTGCTTTATCCATTATATTTTCGTTTTTATCTGAGCCAATGCTACCCTTAACAAATTGATTTGATGTACAGTGGAAGATACTATAGAGTGAGCATGATGTTGCTATCGATCTGAAGCAACATCTACACTTTATTGAGAAATAATAATGCGAAAAGAGTGCTGAAAAAAGGTCGATGATCGAAAGTATTGACATTTAATCAGTATCTTGTTTAGACTGGCTAATAGTAGCTTACCTTGTAAAGGTGAATCATGTTTTGTATGAAAACAAACATCATAACATCCACGAAAAAATCTTCCATAACATGGTTTTAATTGAGCATTTTTTATATCTAATAATATTCCAATTAAAACAATAATAACTGGCATACCCCATGCATATAAAGCATAATATGGTAAACGTTCACGAATTTCATAAATATAAATTGAAAAACCTCTATGAAATGTTTTCCATAGATCAAATGCCATAACATTCATCCAAAAAAAACTAGCCAAAAAGAAAAAATGTATTCCTAATGCAAATAATAAACAAACACTTGGTCTTGTCATTATTAATAAACTTTGTAATAAAAATAAAATTTCAGCTAATATTAAAGCTATAATTAAATTCATTACATTACATCCAGGTAAATTACGTAATGAAGAAAATAATATAAATGTAAATAATGTTATTGATAATGCACATATTGAAAGAAATATTGCTATTGTTGATAAATATCCAGGAGCTTTATCAAAAAAAAATTTTTTTTTTCCATTCGTTGTACTATTATATGCATCATGTTTACATACAACAATATATAAATCTGAACGAAAATCATCATAACGATATTCACGATTTGTATATAAACGACCAGTACGTTTAATTCGTATTGAAAAATTTTTATATTGAATTACTTCACAAAGTGCTATACGCATAACAAGACTATCTGGACAACGATCAACTATTTGAGGTTGACGATTACAAACTAGTATTATTTTTAATGCTGCAGTTGAATTTGACGTTGAAGATGTTAAAGCATCTTGTGACTAAACATTGAGAAGAAGAAAAAAAAATTAAAATCTTAAAAAAAAGAAAAATTACCGATTTCTTTCGTTGATGTTGTGTTAATGTTGAAACCATAAATAAATAAGTATAATCTCCACTTTCATATGTTGTTTCAAGTTCAGGTACATCAACAACATAATCAATTTCTCCATCAAATCTTATACGTCTACGTATAACACCAGTGTTTGTTGGATACATTACATCAGGTTTACCACAAAATTCATCTCGAGTTTTATCTTTATCTGATATAATCGATACTTTTTCAACTTTAATTGAATATTTTTCACATAGATCCATTATAACATGAAATTCTGATGCCAATAAAAGAAGTGTTACAATGTGTAAACCAGTTAATGTATCATTTGATGTTTCATTTCGATCAGTAATAGAAAAATTAAAATTTACAATTATTGATTTGTTATTAAAAAGTCGTTCGCTGATATGATCAGATAATAGTAAATTTGGATGAACTATTAATGTATTACTATTATTTTCAGAAATATTATTCATTGCTTTCGGATTAATCTTTGATGGAGTTCGTAAAAATTTTCCATGATTTTGTTTGAGATTATATTTAATTTTCGTTATACGTTCATAATCGATATCAAGATAACCTAAATAAATGCAGATCATATAGAACTTCGATGGTATTCATATGAACGATTATTTAAAGCCTTGTACAAATTCAACTGAATCTTCTTTTATTACAAATAAAATTGTTTTCTTGCTTATATCTTTTTATTTATTAAGGCACCATGATTTGAACGTGAAATGAAAACAAATAAACTTCTTTGTTATGATTTTCTGTAAGTTTCGTTCTGATGTTTTATGTCTTGTGATATTCAATTTTAATTTTATATGAAACTATCTTTATACTAAGCAAAAGAAAAATTATATTACAATATTTTAATAAGAAATTGGAAAATGCCTTGTCAGTAATATTAATCTAATCTTTTAATACAACTTGATGTTAGATTTATTGGTTATGAAAGTTACAACTTCTCATTAAGTCAAAGATGATTTGACAATAAGTGCAAGGATTAAATTATTCCCCTGATAGAAGATTTTTTAAATAATATTTTGATTCATTGTCAGAGAATTTTTCTGACTACATAATTCCTCAGATCTTTTTGTTGAAATTTAATTATTAATGAAAGTAAATATTTTCAATTCACTATTTATAAACGTACCATGAAGTGCATTATGAAACATTTTAGCCCAATCATTAGTACACGTTTCATTCATTTGACTGTGAAGACGTTTTGAAAAATTGCTTATTTCACTTTCATTACGATGCGTTGGTAAAATAACAAGTGTTATAGATAAATCAATGTCACTCATTCGTTTGTAAACATTTACAGCATTTTTACTCTCATCTAGT